AAAGGTACGTAAACATTAATTTTCCAAACCACTGATGTCAAACTGTTCATATGTATTTAATTTAATTTAATTATTTTAATATCTTCCTATGTCCACATGCTCATCGTCCTCCACGCAATTACGATTATATACGGTTGTTCTTTATCGCTTTAATAAGATATTAATAATAAACAAATATTTTCACACACAACTTGCTCTTCAATATTCACAACTACTAAATTAAGTTTTTTTTTTATAATTCGATCAATAATAGATAACATTATAGAAAAAGAATAATTGTTATTGTCTGGGGTTAGCAATTCCCGTCAGTTCATGGCTTTCAATAATACTTTCTGATATTTAAAATAATGTTTTATTAAAATTATTTTACAGGAGAATTGGTTTGGTTGTTTGAAGCTTTGAATGGAGAGAGCATTTTCACTTTTGTTTTATTAGCCTCAAATATTTAATTTTTTTTTTCCAGTGTTTGTACTTTTAGGTATTTTAACTGTTACGGTCATTAAATGTAACTATTAAGTTATGTGTGTCACCCTAATATTTTTTGAAATTTTTATTTTTTAAAAAAAAGTAAAGAATATTATTAATTTAAAAGAAAAACTCAATTTTTTTAAAAAAAATATAAAAGACACCATAACTTTAAAATTTCTGATTCCATCCCGTGTTACCAGCTGTCACCGATCATCATCGGTCACCTTCACCACCATCGAACGATCACCTACTCATCACCAGTCCTCCACTGATGCCCGTCCCTCTTGCCATTGTTAAAATCCCCTTAAATTCATAAATCCAAAAAAATGAAATCTCTAAACCTTAAACCTCAAATCTCTGACCCTAATCTCGGATACTTACAACTGGTCGTGTAATTTGTAGATGATTTATAGCCATTTAAACCGTTCGAGAATTTGTAATATGTGATTTGATTTGCAATATTTGAAGAATTGTGGGAGATTGCACATTGAAAGGGGACTGGGGACTAAACAAGGGACAAGGACGAGAGGGGAGGGAAATGGGGGGACGAGGAACGGGGATGGAATTTTTTTTTAATTATTATTTTAAAAATATATTTCTATATTTTAAAAATAAAAAAATTAAAATATTGATAAACTGCTAAAAATATAATAAAAAAAGTATTACACTTTTTAAAAAAAATATTTAAGTATCAAAATTCATTTTTAAATATAATTTAGACACTTAAAAATATATTAAAGATTTTTAATACCACGATATTTTATTAGCGGGACCCATTTTTTCATGAATACGAATATACGATAAGGTACGACCACTTTAAGCCCACCTAGTCACCTACCGCGCTATGTTTTTAAGATATTTTAAATAAATATATAATATACGTTACAGCCAATTTTTTTTATTACGACGAAATTTAAATAGCAGTAATTCAAAGTAAATTCAAATTTATATAATTTTTATATTTAAATTTGATATTATAAATAAAAAAGTGATTTGAAAAACTATTCATATTAATTTTTATAATATTTTATTTAAATTAATTTATCATCAAATTTACTTTTGATAATTAGAAACATATAATTATATATTTAAGGAAATCAAATTACATTAGTTAAGACTGAAGGACGACAAATCAAAAAATTATCAATTCAATAATCGAATTTAATTAATTATAGTTAATTCATTTCAAAAAAGTTAATCATAGTTACTTTCATACTTTGCTTTTTGATAACTTAATTACTATTAGAATTGTCATCAACTAATACTAATCAATGGACCAATAATTAATTGCCGGTCTTACGGCTTGAATCATGATATTTAATATATATATATATATATATATATATATATATATTGTCGGATCAAAAAATGTTTTTTTGGGTAACATATATATTAACAATATAATAAAATTTTAAAATGGGATAGATATAAATAAAATTTCAGGGTGGATATCGTTCGTAAAATAAGTAACTAATCGAAGAAATCTCAGATTTCAAGGTGGACACGAAAAATTTCAGGGTATGCATCACCAATGGCATAACCACGACTTGGTCAGGGTGGGCACGTGCCAATCATGAGATCTGAATTTTCTTCGATTAGTTACTTATTTTATTGATGATGTCCACTCTAAAATTTTTGTCTTCACCCTGAAATCTGAGTTTTCTTCGATTAGTTACTTATTTTATGATTGTGTCCACTCTGAAATTTTATTTGTACCCATCGTATTTAAAAAATTTATGTTGTTAACGTATGTGTGTCCACACTGAAAATATTTTTAGATATACCATTGGACATCTCTAATAAAATAAATAACTAATAAAATAAATTTTGAATTTTACTGTAGATACGGCTCCCAGGCTGTGGCTCCGGCAATGTGTGTGTGTGTCTATATATATATATATATTACTGAAGTGGAAGTTCAGACATAAACCTTTTTCATTGTTTTTCTCAAAACACTTTTAAATTTTATCGTTTAAATTCATTCTTAAAAAATAGAAGTTGTTTTAGAGTTATATTTATATTCACGTGAATCATTGTTGTCGTGGCAAATTAGTGCGTAGTAAATATTAGGGTAAATTACACGATTCCTCATTAAACTATACTTCTCTCATATTTTGCACACCGTGATTTCAATTTTTTAATTTACTCACTGAACTTTTGAATTGCTCATGTTTTGATCACTCTGAATTATTTTATTATTATTTTGGCATGACATGGCATTTTTTATTATTTAATATAAAATAATTGAAAACATAAAATAAAAACATAAGGTGATTGGCCATCGTCGACCGTCGTAGATAGTTGTCGTTCGGTCCCAAATTTCATGGGTCAATTTTTCTCAACCCATTGAGTCTGAATCTGGAGGTTGTTTCACCGAAAAATATCCCAAAACCCGTGAATCTTGACTGAAACGTTTCAACTTCCTCACTTTCAATCTTTAATTCATGGAATTAAGAGCAAGATCCGAAAAAATGGAGGTCGGATTCAGACTCAAGGTATCGAGGTGAAACGACCCATGAAATTTGGGATCGAATGACCACCATCTATGACGGTCGACGACGGCCGACGGTGGTGTTCGACCACCTTTTGTTTTATTTTATATTTTAAATTATTCCATATTAAATAATAATAAAAATGTCATGATATACAAAAATAATAATAAAATAATTAAGAGGAGTACTTCGAAAGTTCAGTGAGTAAATTAAAAAGTTTAAAAGTACGGTGAGCAAAATAGGAGAAAGAATATAGTTCAATGATAAATAGTGTAATTTACTTTAAATATTAATTTAAAATCGAGGAAGTAAAATTTTCGTAAATGATGATAGCAAACATGTTCAATACTGGAAAAATGTTAAATGCCATCTCATGCTTCCACATAAAAGGAGACATTTCCACTTATTAGTTCTTCTATTTGTGTATATTTGTATATCTTATATGAGCATAATGATAAATTGAGCTATCATTTTTTATGATTTTTATTAATTTAATAAATAATATTTTAAAATACTTCAATTTAATTTAATTTATTTTTTTTGAAAATTAAATTTAATTTTAAAAAAATATAATTATTATTTGTTATAGTTAAAATATGAAGTAAGTAATCAGACAATGATGTAGCCTGTCACACTAAAGTGAAGTTATTTTTATGAGGACTACTGATGTTTAAAATGATATCGTTTTAGGCATTAAACATTAGTCGTGTATCGTTTTTGTTATTGAAATATAAACAATTTACCTTTTTAGGCACTACACTTTTTGATCGTTACTGGTAGTCAATCGTTGCCCATATCCAATCATCTTTCGTGGTAAGATCGATACTAAAATATTCAAATTTCATTCCTCTTTCTTTTCATAAGATTGATTTTTCACAAAATGCACTCAAAATTGGCGAAAATCTATTTAAAAGTTCGACACATTAATATTCCAATCTCTTTTAATGATCGTTCGATAAGACTAGTTTTGAGGTATGTTCTTCGTCTTCTCGAAATAATACTTCTCGCCATTCGAATTTTCAAACAAACACCCCAAATCTCATAAATCTAAGAAGTCCTCTAAACATCTAAAACTATGTCATTTTTCTGTTTAATTCGTTGATTTTAAATGATTTTCGTGAAAATTTAATTATAAGAGAAGAGAGAAGATTGAAATGTAAATATTTTGATACATATATTGATAAAAATATAATATATTTAAAAGTGTTGTTCTAAAAATATAATATGTTTAGTGACAAAATTAATATATCTTACGAGTTCATTGTCTAAAATAATATTTTAGGCATCAAAACAACAACACTAAAACGACATTATTTTGGTGGCAAGTCAAATTAGCAAACATTAATTATATCACAGTCTCACTATAATTTAACGACGAAATAAGATAATTGAAAAAATAAAATAAAATATTATAATTAATAAAATTATAAATCTTATAGTATAAAAGAATCAATGAACAAAATTCAATGATTTAATTTATTTATTTTAAATAATATGAATCAACAAATAAAAACTCCCACGAAACTTATATTTTATCCCTCGTACCGAAAATATTCGCGTGGCCTTCCTGGAAGGAGCCTGGTGGAGTACAAACAAAGTACAGCACCCACATAAGTAGTCAGGAAACGAAAAGTTCAGCGCCTGGCCGACAACGGAATCAGCAAATTCCAATCCAACCCTCTCCAATTTATAATATTTTGATACCTGAAATTTCAAACCTATTTATTAATATTAGTAAAATTTTAATTTTATATATTTAAGTAACATAATCAATAATATATTTAAGGTTTTGATTATAAAAAAATATCATATTCACACACATAACTTAGAAAGTCAAAATACTCTATATTAGCCAAAATATGAGCTTTATCACATTCAATATTAACCAGAATAATACGTAGCCGCAGGCAGCATCCGTATATGATTTTAACCTCCCTTCCTATTTAAACCACAAATCCTGGTCTCTTTCCAAGTTTCAACACTCGATTGCGCCTGCCGGCTGCCACTGCCACCGCCCGCCCGCCCGCCCGTCCCTTCTCGAAACCCCGTTTCCACCACTTGTTTCAGTTTCCTTTGCTTTAAATCGTAGTATTTGTAAGGACAAACAGGGTAGCTCCTTCATCTCCCCTGCTTCTACACCTACAAAACCTAAGATTCCGACTTTAGTTCTTGAGGCAGCCTAAACAGGGAAAGAACAAGACAGCCTGTTTTATCTAGGATTTTCCGAATGAGATACTCGGTCGCGGAAAGGCATCACGATGGCAAATATACCGTCTTCTCTCCCTGAAGTCCGCTTTACCCTCTTTCGCCTTGCCTCAACACTTCTCCTTAGCAATTTCTTGTCTTCTACGCTCCAAACGAACAGACGCAAAGCTACGCAGAAGCCAAAGCTCTCCTCTTTGTCGTTGTTGTCCCCGTTTCCATGAGAAAGATACGAGGTTTCAAGATCGGGAAACGGCTTGTCCGGATCTCGAGATGGTTCTTCCGCAAAGCTCGAAACCCACATGGGTACTGTCGCCTGACACGACGAGGATCATTTGGTAACTCAAACCATGTCTCGAAGCTCATCAGTTGGGGTCGCCGCTTGGCTAAAGGGGCTAAATCCATATGCTCTGTCAAACCCGGGTCGGGCTACGTTCCTATCGGTCAAGATCCAATCAACGAGAAGCTGATGGAAGTTCCGAAAGGACACTTGGCCGTCTACGTCGGCCAAAAAGACGGCGACTTTCATCGAGTTTTGGTGCCTATTATTTACTTCAACCACCCTTTGTTCGGCGAGCTATTGAGAGAGGCTGAAGAGGAGTATGGGTTTAGTCACCAGGGTGGCATCACCATTCCCTGCCGGTTCTCGGAGTTCGAGAGGGTTCAAACCCGTATCGCCGCCGGAACCGGTGGAAAGAAATTTGCTTGGAAGCGCCGCCACCAGCATTGACAGGCTGCACGCCGCTGGTGGTGCCGTGGTGGTGGTACAAATTGTTGATTACGACGACAATTAAGTATGTTCAGTCACTGTGATAATGATGTTCGAGTGATTTTTGGTTTAAAAAGTAGAATTTGTTTACATTTCTCATCTTACTTTTACAAATGGTCAAATACTTTTACTGTAATCGGTCAGGTGTACGTACATTTGTAGATAATATTTTACTCTTATTTGATTATTTCTGACATGCGGTTTTAATAGACATAATTACTAAATTTAGATTATAAATAATTTGTTCGAGATAATGTTGATAATTATTAAGCGAAAGTCTATTCATTAGGCTGTTTTTAACAGGTTGCGTAATATGTATGTTGCGTATTAGAACTGAAGACATTAATCCTATATGAAAAAAGATTATTGTATTCAAGGGTTCACAAGTTAATTTATAATTTCTATTAGTGTAGATTATTTTGTTTTCGAACTACTAAAATGATAGCATGTAAATTTGATGTATTTCTTGAAAAATCACTGGTGATCGGTATATTTATCGATCTAACACCGGTCAGATTATATTTTTTGATCTAACACCCGTAGCAGTAAAGCGCGTCCCTTGAACCGCGCTATATGTTGATTTGGCACCACGTGGGGTATAGCGCGGTACATGGGGTATAGCGTGCCCCATGTACCGCGCTATACGCTGACATGGTTTACACGTGTGTATAGCGCGCCCCCTGATCCGTGCTATATCTTTTATTTGAATAATTACATATAGCGCGGTGTAGGTACCGCGCCTTGTATGGTTATAAATACCTTCATCCGCCAGTTAAATTTCTCACATCTCCTCACATCTCTCCTCGCATCTCCTCCGCGGGTTAAGTTTTTGAAGTAACATATATATTTGGCATGCATATGTGTTTATCATGTTACGTGGCTATGTATTTCCATGTTTCATAGCGTCAATGCTATCATTTCTAGATTTTTGATATTCTTGAATGATGCCAATGTTATGTCCAGGTTATAGAGTTGTATGTTCATAGGCAATTAATTTGAGTGATGTAAGTGATGATGTATGTTGTTGTTGATGGATAGGTTGCTCAAGATAATAATAATAATTATTATTATTATTATACTTGGTAAATTCATAAAATGAGCCTTAATGTTAGCTTTAAATGAAATTTGTCATGTAGAATGATCAATGAATGTACAACATGTTGTTTGTTCTTTGTTTGTTGAAACCATCTTATTCTATGCGTTTATCAATTCAGTCTAAGTTTTGACCGGTTAATATGATGTATCTCTGGTTCGACTATCCACTAAATCAGATTGGGGATGTTGCAAAATTCTATATTATGTCGTGTTTAACAATTGTATGCTTTTATTTTCTCTTTCGTGTTAGATGATGACGTTACAACTAAACACATCTTGACGAAATCAAATAAATGAAGAATTTGTGTTGTACAAGACAATTATGGACATAACGATTTTGGGGAGCAGGAAAAGTTCCTCTATATGGACATAAGTCATAACGATTTTGAGAAACATATGAGAGTTTAATTATGTGGGCATAACATATATGAGAAATAGAAAATGTAGTTCAATGAGCATAACAAATTTGATAATAAATTTCAAATTTGTCATAACTATTAATAATGTTAAGGGTATAATTGTTTTTTCACATGATTCTACTATCGAGAATATGCGCAGAAAAGAAACTAGACCTCTACATAGATTTAATGAGGCTAGAGCATTTTAAGTGGTTAAGGATATAATTGCCATTGATGAGCGAGATCATGTTGTGCATGATATTACTTGGTGGTGATACAATTGTGAGCAAAATTGACTTGTAATAACCTTATTGATGCGAACACTAAGTTACCTCGTACATCAAATTTTTTGACAAGGCTTGAATTCTAATGATAACCATTGTTGAAGAATAACCCTTAGAACAAGCGGAGAATATGTTCTTAAGGTAGAGAATATTTTGTCAATGTGACGAACTATTTTTTTTTGTCGATTTTGAGTGTTTCATTGAATTTGAGATTTGTCTCGACCTACTTATACTTTTAAAATTCATGTCAACGTGGAGATTGTTAGAGTATAAAATTAATAGAAAATTAAGAAACTTAATATAATTGAGATTAGACAATACATCTAGTTTCTATGTTGATTAAAAGTATAAAATTTAATTTTAATATATTTTTATTAAATAAGTTTCATTTATAATCATGTAATTATATCTACATTAGATATCGGAGATTAGGGTTAGAAGTTAATAAAATAAATAGTTTGCAAAATTAATAATATATGTGTGTACAAAATTTATTTTAAACTATCTAATTTACCTATTATCAAATTTAACAATCAAAGCAATTGATAATATAGAGTTTGTGTTCTTTTAGGAACATGTTTGAATTTAGAGACAAGGTGGTTGAGCATATTCAATATGTATGGATTCGAAGAGCAGCATGTTCTTTCTTAAGCTTCCCCTGTTTTGTTCGGTGGTGAAAGATCTACACGCAACACACACATATATATTTACAAGCAAATTACAAGAGACTGCTGAACTGCTGTGTTTATTACTGTCATATCAAAGTAGACTTCAATCCACAAATTCAAACTCTCATCAACTGGTTTATGTATCAACATGCCCGTTCATGATATTTTAAGGGCATTAGGTCAGGACGTGATGACAAGAAGATAAGTGGGGGTCTATATTTGGTTCTCCTTCCAATTATCAAAATGGAGTCCACTAGATTTCTAGGTTTCCGAGTTTTTTAAAATAAAAAATAATATTTAAAAATATTTTTTAATTATTGGGACTCGATTACCATATTTTCGAGTGTTTGAAATAAAAAAATAATGTTTAAAAATATTTTTTAATTATTAAACTTAAAAATATTTTAAAAAATAACCCCCTCCAAACCTAGCCCCAGGCGGTCGCCCCCTCGCCTATACTCATGCTGGCCCTGTGTATTAACATTCCTCTCTGATTTAACCCATCTTTCAACCAAAATTTTGAATTCCTTAAAAATAATGTTTAATTAATGTCTATTATAATTATATTGATGTACTTGTAATTATAATTTTACCTCGCATTAATCATACATTCATTTTTGAGTTAAAAATTAATTGCATATTTTAAGTTCATGTCCACATCATTCATGAGTAAGAGAGATGACCTAAAGTTATTGAGAAAGTTGAAGTTCCCAAACCGCCTACCAACGAATCCCCCTTCTTTTAACTTTTATGGCTGGGAAAATGCACTAAAGCTCCCCAAGTTTATTATTTATTGTATTCTGAAGAATTATTTTTGTTAAAATTTACTAAAATCAATCGTATTCGACGAGTTTCTATTCGATTCTATAAAATTTAACTTATATTATAAAATTTTGAAATTTTTAGTTAAATCAGATTCAAATTTAGAAAGTATTAATAACTTTACTGGTATCATATTCGTATTAATAAAAAATACATTCGATTCAGCTTGATTATCATCTCTAATTAAAATAATATTTTAGATTAACGTTTATATATTTTATAATCACACGAACCAAACAATTTTAATAATTAAAAGAATTATAATTATTTTAAAAAATTTTATGATTGAGCATTAACAATTATAAGATATTTAAACCTTAATGTGAAATGGAATAACTATTTTGTAATAAAATTTTAGTTTTTTTTATTGAAATAATTTAAAAACTGTACAAGATTTAGGGATATGTGTACCCAAATTCCAAGGCCTCTCTGCCAAGCAATCAATTTCTTACCTCACAGAGTAGCAGAGAAAAGGGTTTAATTTCGATTCAGTCCCAATATGTTTTTGATTTCTTACATATAGTCATTCTATTTTTATTTTTGAAAATGTATTCTCTCTCCTTGTTTCGTTAGAAAATTAAATTCCAAATAATAATATTATTTTTATTAACTTTAAATATTTAAATTTTAAAACTCAGTGATTAAAAGATGGTTATTATCTCTCAAGATTTTGTATTCGAACATGACATTTATAAGGGTGTTTGAGCGTTTATTGTCAATAATTAATAATCTTTTAAATACACATTATTTTGTAATCATCTCAGACTAATAAAAATACTTTTTAATACCTAAAAGTTATTATTTAAAATAAGTAATCAAATGATAATCCATACTTAAATTTAGTAGAAATTAATTAATAACATTATCAATTAAAGTTTAAATTTTAAATTTTAAATCAGATAATTAAATAAGTCTACGGCGTTGATTGAAAATATTTTGAAAATTTAAATCCTTTAAAAATATTTTTAATGATTTAATTTAATTTTTAAATATGATAGATAATTAAAAGAGAAAATAATCTAATGATGTTTTAATGAAAAATATGGCGAATAATAATATAAGAGTTTGTTTATCACTTATTTTTAAATAAATACCATTTCATTTTATTTCATTTAAAATTTAAATTTATCAATTAATTTGATTATATATAATACTGAATTTCAATTACCAAATAAATTTATAATTTAATATTTAATATTTTAATAATTTATTCAGTGCTCGAGTTTTCAATCAAGCATCAAATTCTTGGGACTAAAGTAGAAAGACTAAATGACAAGTCTTAAGAGTGTAGGGACTGGGAAGAAATTATTCCCCAAAAATTCCAGCAGCAAGTTCCCATTTTTTCACCAAGTCAATCGAAGAATCAAATCAACCCATTTCATCAAATTCAGTAGTTCGACTCTTCTTCTTCATCACCAACATCTACCAAAAGCTCTATACTTTTTTTTTTCTAGAAGAAAATCAAATATTGATCTCTCGTCTTTCTTTTTGGAAGCCATGGAAAAGCTTTAAAGTATAAACCCCAATCGAATAAACCACCGACAAAACAAAACCAGAAGATTCCCATTTTCCATTAAACCCTGAAGAGAAGCTGAAATAATCTACAAATCCAACCTACCCAATTTCTACACAACCTTAGAATTACAAAAGAAACCCAAGTTCTACTGAATCTTGCAAAGAACATCCTCGTTTGATGTCAAAGCACATGTCTTATCTTGATAACATTCCACCGACACCGGGGAAATTCAAGATGGAAAAATCGCCTTACGTTCACAATAAATTGAGGTGGCACTCATCTCTTATGAAGCTCACATTTTGGTCCTTCGTCTTCTTGGTCTTGATCTTCATCTTCTTCTATCGACCCCCTCCCTCGAATCCCCTCACTCAAGATCCATCTCGCCGCTCTCTCCGCACCCACAACTGGGGTGGACCCGTTTGGGAAAAACGGGTCCGTTCCTCCGCCCGTATCCGTTACAGTGACGGTATCTCCGTCTTGGTCACCGGAGCCGCCGGTTTCGTTGGCACCCATGTGTCGACTGCTTTGAAAAAGCGTGGGGATGGTGTTCTTGGACTCGATAATTTCAATGACTATTACGACCCTTCATTGAAAAGAGCTCGTCAAGCTCTTCTGGACCGAAGCGGGGTTTTCATCGTGGAAGGAGATATCAATGATTCGACTCTTTTAAGGAAACTTTTTGAGGTTGTCGCGTTCACCCACGTTATGCATTTGGCTGCTCAAGCTGGTGTCAGGTATGCCATGGAAAATCCTAGCTCTTATGTGCATAGCAATATCGCTGGTCTCGTTAGTTTACTTGAAGCTTGCAAATCTGCTAATCCACAACCTGCAATTGTGTGGGCTTCTTCGAGTTCCGTTTACGGGCTTAATAAAAAAGTCCCATTTTCTGAGAAAGATAGGACTGATCAACCTGCTAGTTTATATGCTGCTACTAAGAAAGCTGGTGAAGAAATTGCTCACACTTATAATCATATATATGGTCTTTCTTTAACTGCCTTGAGGTTTTTCACAGTTTATGGCCCTTGGGGTAGGCCAGATATGGCATATTTCTTCTTCACTAGGGACATTTTGAAGGGAAAGACCATATCGATATTCGAAGCAGCTAATCATGGTACAGTAGCTAGAGATTTTACCTACATCGATGACATTGTTAAAGGGTGTTTAGCAGCCTTGGATACAGCGGAGCAGAGTACTGGTAGTGGAGGGAAGAAGAAAGGTCCTGCTCAATTCAGGATATACAATTTGGGGAATACTTCTCCGGTGCCGGTTTCGGATCTTGTGAGCATCTTAGAGAGGCTTTTAAAGGTTAGTGCAAAGAGGAATTTTATCAAGTTGCCACAAAATGGGGATGTTCGGTTCACTCATGCTAATATTAGTTTGGCTCAGAGGGAGCTCGGTTACAAGCCCTCCACTGATTTGCAGACTGGCTTGAAGAAGTTTGTCAAATGGTATCTCGGTTACTATTCTGGTGGGAAGAAGGCTGCTGGATAATCCATTCTTTAATTTGTGGTAGGATCCTCTGAATTCTTGTTCATTATCATTGTTTTTCGACATTTCTTTGTTCGTTGCCCTATTATTTGTTGTTTCACATACAAGGAGGGACGCCATGGCCTAGTTTGAAGCAATTTTTCGATCAATGGACATTGTTTGCTGGTCGGGCACTCCAAAACACCCCCATTTCATTTTCCATGGACTGTAATTGTTGTTAGTTTTGGCATTGTGGAACTAATGAGTGGTATAGTATTGGTTAACATGTATCATTGCAATGCAATTTCAATAAAATAGCTCATTCATGCACTATATGTTGTGGCCTCTCTCAATTTCAAGTGAATGCTATATCTTTGTTCCTGTATTTGGTGATTGTGCATTTTGGTTCCCTGGTGTAGAGATATTGCTCCTTCCATTATATTAATCAATGTTATATGATTCATGAGCTTAAACTACTTTAAAGCAACTATGCTTAAGTGCATTTGAACCACAGGTTTTAGGAGATATCGATCGAGCTTAAGGTTTAGTCGATAGTCCGATGCTATTTTTATACCTAAATAAACCAGTTCCTCCAACTAAACAAACACTGTACATATTTGTACTGCATCTGTTTTTCAAACGAATGTGGAAAAATTTGCAAATTGTACATCTCTACTATCACGAGTCAGTGTAGCGCATGGTAGATACAGTACTGAACAGCCAGAGGCATCCCATGAAATTGGCCAGCGCATTCACGCGAAGTCCAATTATATGGTAGGAACAGTACTGACACCACCAGTCATATCAGTACTAATGTACCATAGTTTTCAGAAGTGAATGCAAGTCTAAGGATTGTTGTATTAAATTATTGGACTAGCATCAAGTTAGCAAGAACTTTGGGCAAGCCGGCGAACCAGATGGTCAAATTGCTTGGTGGCTGTCTTGGGGGCACCATCTTCAACCAATGAATTCTGGGCATCAAATCTATCTGTGTTTTCCTTCCCGTGACTGCTTGGTTGTGGGGCTATTCCAAAACTGAAAATATAAGGAAGAATCTGTTTAAGTGTTCGTTACGGTTTGACCCAAATTTAATTTTGACTTAAATTGATCGGTGAAAGTAGGAAATGTAATTTGATTGAAAGTATGAAGTTTGTTATATTTTATGTTAATTAAAAGTCGGAAACATAGTTTGAGTAGATTTTTGTTACTCAAATTTTTCTTTGTAATCAAATAATTATCCCTATAAATATGTACTATGGATTATATTAGATGTTAAGTTCTAAATGGAGATCTCTCTTTTACTTTTTTTCTTCTTTACAACTTGTATCAATTTTATTGATCAATCCATTTTTTTTAAATAAGAACAATTATGTCTTTGTGACATAATATCTGTCTTTATGACACGTTTATCTTTGTCTTTGTGGCATGTTTTTCTTTGTGTTTTGGTAGCTTACGGTTTTTTATTGTTGTTTACGATGTTTTGTTGTTGTTTACGATGTTTTGTCGTTGTTTTTGTTTATCTTTTTTCTTAGGGTTGGATTGACATCGCCACGACTGATCAAGACGACGCTTATTTGTTATCATAATGACCTTCCTTGCTTTGGACCCTCGGATTGATTTGGATATGTGTTTTGCGTTCGTGGATAGTTTTCTCACGTTGTTTGACTCTGATTTACGATTTGTCGGTGGTATTTCAGTAGCTTCATGTCCTCTTGTGGTTTAGTTACCGATGCAGTTAGATTTGTTCGTATCTTTATTTTATTCAAGTTTCTTTATTAGGTTTTTTAACATTTTCCTTCTTTGGCACTTATGTGACCTAGATGACAGTTTTTGTCTCAATGGTAATAAGAAAATATTATAATTATATTTTAGGTTTACGGTTATACTTGTAAATCTTCAATGTAATTTGAATATTTTATATTTTTAATAAAACTAGCGACTTTCTGTCAAAAAAAAAAGTTCTAGATTCCTCTTGTATTATTATATTTTCAACATTAAAGAAAGTTTTTCTTTCTTGCATGTAGTTTTTTTTTCAAAAGAGTTTTTTTCACATAAAATCTTGATGTTTGTTTTATTATGCGATTATTATGCTTCTCATTATCTCCTAAATAATTTGTATAACATCATACAAATTGTTTGTCTCGATCACAATAATGTCATCCTTGAAGTATAAATTTTTGTTTTTGAATCACAATATCGTATTCTTGTTGAGGCGTGGATGTATAAAAATTTGTAATGGCTCTCTCATTGTGATAAAAAGACAGAAACATTGTTAATTTTGTTGTTCTCCAAAGTTCAATAATTTCTGAATATGAATGTGTTATTTTCTCATTTGTAGGGATGGAACGAGAGGGGGTGGGTGGGGGCAGTCGCCCTCTTAAAAATTTAAAATTACCATATATTTTAAATTTTTTTCTATGTATTTCCTATTAAAAATATGTTTCGCCCCCTAGAATTTTAATTCATCTCACTTAAGTTTAAGTTCATCCCCTCAACATAAAATCTTACGCCTGTCCCTGCTCATTTGTGTCAAATGATTACGTTATTAGAAAACACGTCTTCATTGAATAAAGTATAATGATTTTGAGAAGCAGAACATAATTCAATTTCGTGAACATAACGAATTTAAGAAGAAATAGAGAGTTCAATTTGTCACATGGATTAACAACAAAAAAATTCTTTTCATCGATGATTGAGACTGTGTTGTGCATGATATTACCTGTAGTGATACAATTGTGAGCAAAGTTGAGACTTATGATGACATTATCGATGTGAAGATTAAGTTTCCTTATATATCCAAACTTAGACAAAGCTTGGATTAGGTTGCCATTCATTATTGAAGAGTATCTCTTTTCAAAGGGGTTAATGAAATAATTGGAGAATACATTTTCAAAGTGGAAAACTTGTCTGTGTATGTGAAAAATACATTTTATTTGTGCTTTTTTTTAAATGATTTTTCTCGGAAAAATTTAATTCCAATGAAGATGACTGCTGGTTTGTGGGACGAATGAACTAAAGAAAAATTCTCTTTAGTTGAAAAGAGAAGAATAAAGAGAAGAATGTAACTAAAAAGAACAGAACAGACAGCTAAATAGGACTATTGCGTTCTTTGGCTTTGTTTGGTCCATTTGGCTGTTTAGAAAACGAGGTAATATTTAAAAATAGGACCTGCAGTGAGAGCCAGTTATTTGAATCGGCGGTGCCGAGAATCGGACACTGCTATAAATGGCTTTGCCCCGAATCCAACATTTCGTTTCTGGATATCTTTAGGGCCCCTTACCTCTGGATCTCTTTCAGGCGTACAGTGGGCAGAACATCAAGAGGTGCAGTTTTAGAGTAGTTTAGCCTATGGCCTGTGATCGGAAAAAGTTGTATCGGTCGGTCTCGAAGTGTTGCTGTTATCATGGCAGCCGGTGCTAAGGTGGAATAATTGTGTTACGGGTGTTGTTTTTCGCAGTGTGGCTTTTTAACGTCTGAATTGGTAGGAATCCACGAATAACAACGACGGTGTCTTAAAATTCGACGATTCTTTGAACGTTTCTTCACGACAAACAGTGGTAGATTACGATGAAAGGCCAACATGGGTTTGATTTGGGATCGAAGTCGATACTAATGATAGTGATGGTGACAATCACAAGATGTTGTTTGGGTATTTTTAATTTTTTTTAAAAAAATTTAAATAAATTTTTAAAATTATCAGAATGTGGCACGTGTCACTTAACGAAGATTTTTAACGGTGGTTAATATCCGAGCACCTAAAAATGTAACATTGGAAACATTAAACACCTTTTTTTTATAAAAAAATTCTTTAAGCACTAGAGCGTTTTTCGATGTATAATTTGGACACATTTTTGTATGAAGCCTTTAAATTATCTCTTTAGTAAAATTTGTTAGCTAGTTCCGCTAAAAATTAACTTCGAGGATAAACCCTGTTACTCATCAGTCATGATGCTAGCATTGATGTTTCATCTAGATAGCTACCCCTCTCCCTCTCTTCAGTTAAAGGTATTAATTATTTGACCGATAACGAACATATCGAAAATAGAGAGAGCAAGCTATGACCAAAGTAGTTTAACGTTTCAATGGATTAAAAGCTGTGTAAACGAACAAGAAACAGCTTTTAACTTGAATTAGAACAAGACAGAGATTTAAGTTTGGATTTTATACGATTTTTCCCTTTGAAAAAGATTAGACATTCTAATACAGACTACATCGTGCTCAAAAGTCTCGACACGTTTAATATTCCGAGATGGATTTCAAGTTTCAACTACCATTTCTTAGCAGTTGGCCGGTTGGGCATTGGTAGGCGAAAAATTTAATCTTTAATCACTCTATTTGATAGGGTTGGTGTCAGCCAAATTGTGACTTCCGTCTTCTTCTGGGCTTCACATTTAGATTTTGCCCCATGTGTATATTGAGAATTGCTCCCTTAATTAAGACTTTACCCCATATGATTTAATTCATATATTAGTTATTAAACAATAAATTTCATTAAAAAAGGAAGTTAGTTAAAAAAAGGAAAGGATTAAAAAGTATAAAATTTAAGTACGTGAAAATAGGGATACCAATTTAATCCGATTTCGACCTGATTTGATAGGGTCAGATTTTATTAAAAAGGAGGTAGGACCATAATTCGACCCCATATGATTTAATTTATAGACTAAAATATAGTCGAAGGATAATTTTGTAGCTTTTACTCCATATGATTAATCCATAGATTAGACCTTAAATAACCGTTTTTATTAAAAATGAAATTAGTTAAAAAAATATGAAATGATCAAAAAAGTATAAAATTTAAGTATGTGAAAGTAGAGGTGGTAATTTAACCCAATTTGATGGGTTCTGATCCAATCCGACCTGATAGAGTCGGATTTTTTTAAAAGGTGGCAGGACCATTATTTGACCCCATATGATTTAATTCATAGATTAAAAATGTAGACGGAAGATAATTTTGTAACTTTTATCCCATATGATTTAATTCATATATTAGACCTTAAATAATGGCTTTTATTAAAAATTAAAATTAGTTAAAAAATGAAATGATAAAAGTGTATAAAATTTAAGTATGTGAAATTAGAGATGTCATTTTAACCCGAATCCGATGGGTACCGACCCAACCCGATTTGATAAGGTCGTTTTTTTACTCTGGGTTCAAGTTCGGGTCGGGTCAGATTTTTTAAGGTACGAGGTCGGGTCGGATTTGGGTGGAGGTTGAAAAAACTTTGACCCGACCCGAGGATAATAATTTAATTTTCTTTAAAAAATGTTATTTTTAATTAAATAATTATTTTTTATTGGTTGGGTCAAGTTAGGTTGGATTTGTACTCAGAAAATTTAGGTCGGGTCGGAGACTAATTTAATTTGGTGACTAATGTGTTAGGATTTTCAGAAGTTCGAATTGACAACCGGAACGGTTTGCAAAGATGGGTCAGACTTTTTTTGTGTTTAGGGAGAAAGGAGATTGAAAGATAGAGAATTGCACAGCGATTTATAGTGGTTCGACTTTCTTAACCAAAGTCTACATCCACTACCTTAGCTCCTCACCAAGGATTTTCCAACAAATTCACTAATTTGTTATTTCTTTTGAGGATAAAGAGTAACCTTACAAACTCCCTAGTTTTTCCGGGCTAAACTATAACATTTCCCTAGCTTTTACACGGGCTAAGCTAGAACCTTTCCCTTTTACAAAAGGATAAATGATGTAAACAAGAAAACCTCTCTAAGGTAGGTGTTTACAATAATTAAGCTCACAAGAACAAAATATTTACAAGAGAAAGATGAAATAAGAATGAAAAACTCTTCTCTTGTGTTTGATTGCTTGGATGGTTGTTCTTTTACTTCTTCAAGTGTCCTTAGCTTGTATTTATAGTTTGGAATGTGTTTGAAGTCGTATATAGCCGTTGGAGATGTTTTGGAGCCGTTTGGAGATGAGAATCCATTAATAAAACAGCTTGGAACGTGGGAGGAATCGATACCCCTCATGGGGAATCGGTTCCCTAAGTGTAAAATTCAAATATTTCGATCGTTAAACAGGGGAGAATCGGTACCCCTTGGGAGGAATCGGTTCCCTCCGAGCATTCTGTTTTTCTCGGAGTCAAACCATTCAAGGGGAATCGATACCTCCTTGGGGGGGAATCGGTTCCCTCTGAGCAATCTAGAATTTTTGGCTTTGAAACGGTTCGAAATACTTTGTAAAATTGTTTTAAAAATATTTTAAGTATAAAACACAATTTTACACTTTAGTAAGGATTAAAATGAACTTTGAAAGACTTGGAGTAATATTTTGATATTCGAATAATTACATCGAATATACTTAGAAAATCTTTTGTAAAATCTTAAAATTCATTTAATTTAATTTGTTATATCAAAACATCAAAATATTTTCAACATAATGTTATAAAATCTCTATTGGGAGACCCATCTACTAAAATTAGGTGTGTAATACGGATTGATCCTGATTAACTAGGATGATGCCTTAGAACAAGGAGAATAACTAGAATATATATATATATATATATATATATATATATATATAATTTTTTAAAATTTTAAATAGTTAAACCCCACCTCCTAAAATAATAAGAAAAGTAATGTAATTTTGTCCAGTAATATCTATTTTTTATCATTAAATTTAACTTTAATTTTTTAGTTAGATTATAAATATTTAATTTAATATCATTCAACTTTTATTTAAATCATAAATATTTAATTTAGTTATTTATTTTTATCATTAATAAAGTAAGAAAATTATACTAATATAATTAAAAAATTAAAAATATTTATTTAGCATATTTTTACTTGTGATAGTCAAATAATATTTAATTAATAATTTAAATATTTCATTCAAATAAACTCAATGAAAAAGAACTGAAAATTAAATTTAATAATTTAAAATGTAAATTACTCTAATTTTGTCTATATAAGAGATCTTCACCAAATTGTCATTTTTCAACATATATACGAAACCCAAGATTTCTTTTCATATCAATGGAACTTCTATTGCCAAATTCTGTAAACTCAACACCCTTAACAACTTTAGGCTTCCTGGACAGAGCTGCCGTCGCCTACGGCGACTCTCCTTCCGTCGTCTACAGTAATGTTTCCTACACGTGGTCCCAAACCCACCGTCGGTGCCTCCAGATGGCGTCGTCTTTGACATTCCTCGGCGTCCAACGAGGCCAAGTGGTTTCAGTCGTCGCCCCCAATGTACCTTCCATGTACGAACTCCAGTTTGCTGTCCCCATGTCCGGAGCCGTCATTAACAACATCAATACTCGCCACGATGCCAACACTTTGTCTGCACTCTTACAGCACAGTGAATCCAAGCTTGTTTTTGTGGATCACCAGTCTAGTTCGCTTATTCTCGAGGCGATCTCGTTGTTTCCCAAGAACACAAAGTCCCCACAACTGGTCCTCATTGACGACGAGATGGAGGACTCATCAGGAACCAGAAGCCTATCATCGACCGTTGACTTTCTCGATTATTACGAGGGGATAATGGAAGACGGTGACCCGAAATTCAAGTGGGTGAGGCCTAAGAGCGAGTGGGATCCAATGGTGCTGAACTACACGTCAGGCACAACATCTTGTCCCAAAGGTGTGAGCTTAAGCCATAGGGCTGCTTTCATAATCACCATGAATGCTTTGGTTGATTGGTCGGTTCCAAATCAACCTGTTTACTTATGGACTTTACCCATTTTCCATGCTAATGGGTGGAGTTTCCCTTGGGGCATGGCCGCCGTAGGAGGGACCAATATTTGCCTCCGGAAAGTTGACCCTCCATTGATTTACCGTTTGATTAAAAAACATAAGGTGACTCATATGTGTGCTGCACCTGTGGTTCTCAACATGCTATCAAATTCACGAGACCTTGAACCACTAGACCACCCTGTCCAAATTCTAACCGCCGGTTCACCCCCACCAGCACCGGTCCTATCCAGAACCGAGTCAATGGGCTTTGAGGTGAGACATGGATACGGGTTAACCGAAACAGGAGGACTCGTTGTCTCATGTGTGGAAAAAGGAATGGAACAAACTTCCATTAGCAGAAAGAGCCAGGCTAAAGTCAAGACAAGGAGTTAACACTGTCGGTTTAGCAGAAGCCGATGTTTTGCATCCTGACACTGGGGAAAGTGTGAAACATGATGGGAGAACAATCGGCGAGGTTGTTTTGCGAGGTGGGTCTCTCATGTTAGGGTATCTCAAAGACACCGAAGGGACGTCCAAATGCATGCGTGAAAATGGGTGGTTATACACCGGAGACGTCGGTGTAATTCACCCAGATGGTTATTTGGAAATCAAGGATCGGTCCAAGGATATAATTATAAGCGGTGGGGAAAACTAAGCAGCCCGAAGTTGAGTCGGTGTTGTATTCACACCCGGCGATTGATGAGGCGGCGGTGGTGGCTAAGCCTGATAAGTTTTGGGGTGAAACGCCGTGTGCGTTTGTGAGTTTGAAGAAGGATGGTGAGTTGACTCGGATACCGAGTGAGATGGAGATAATACAGTATTGTAGGGATAAGTTGCCGCATTACATGGCGCCCAAGACGGTGGTGTTCCAAAATGAGCTCCCCAAGACTTCAACCGGGAAAGTACAAAAATTCATTCTCAGGGAAATTGCTAAGGCTATGACTTGAATTGGCTCGGTTTGGCATAGGGATAAATTTACTTCACGTGTGTCAATAATTTGTTCAATAATTGGTGCACGTTTCCTTTGTTCAAAGAAAATAATTTGCAACCAACGAACTTATTTTAATACTTAAATAAATTATTATTATTTTTAAAGATTATGAATTTAAACATCAGTAATTACAATAAATCGATTAAACCTTCATTGTTACATATGTAAAAATATTTAAAACATATAAAAACTTTAAACATGATTATGGTCTATACATTAATAAACAAAGAGAAAATCGCCTCAGTGACCAAAAATGCCTTATAATATACGATTTTAACCAACTTTTTCCGGATTTGCCAAAATGACCAACAAAATCGCAATGCGATCGCTAATTCGCAACGCGATCTCCATTATCGCAAATTCGTGTTGTATTTCGCGTTGCGATAGTTGGAAATCGCGTTGCGATGATCTACAGTGTCGTTGCGATTTTCCCAATTCGCAATGCGAATAAGTAAATCGCAACGCGAATTGGGAAAATCGCAATGCGATACTGACTATCGCAATGCGATACTTACTATCGCAATGCGATAATACAAAATCGCAACGAGATACTGACTTTCGCAACGCGATTCTGACTTTCGCAACGCGATTTACATAGCGCCATTCGTATTAACGCGTATTTTTTTTCAAATTCCAAACACGAATTTTTTCTTAATAAATCGGAAACTGAACCGTCCACAGTAATCGCAACTCATAACCTCAAACCCAAAATCACAACACTCAGTCCCATCTCCAATCTCTCATCTCTACGGCGAAATCCGACCCCATCTCCGAAGATTTCCGTCCCATCGCCGGCGAAATCATCACAACCATTCACAGTCAAAATCCCTCACAATCATTCAGAAATGGAAAATCAACCTCCGAGGGTTAGTTTTTTTATTTTTATTTGAAATTTTTGCATTATTTTAGGTTTTTTCATATGAGATTGATGATAAGTTTACTAGTAATTTCAATAATAGATTAACCATTTCATTAGATTTCTTATTAAATTCATTCGATTGCTGCCAATACTGCTAACTGTTTAGCTTGTGAAGTTAGTATTTGTCTTTATTTTGTCTTTTGGTTGAAGTAATGCAGAAGAAGAATAGTTTCGAGAATAAAAATCGCAACACGAAATAACTATCGCAACGCGAATAAAAAACGCAACGCGAAACCAAAATCGCATTGCGATTTTCATTTCGCGTTGCGATTCTCTCGTTGCGATTTTCATTTCGTTGCGATTCTCATTATCTCGTTGCGATTTTCATTCAACCAAAAGACAAAACAGTGTTGCAATTTTAGTTTCAAGAATAACTACTATTTAGTTAATGTTTTTGGTATATCTGACAGTGTAGTTTTTGGTATATCTAACTTGGTATGTTTATTGTTTTTTAGAAATTTTTTTGGCTTCATTGACATTAAGGATAAAGTTAGCCTAGCCACTACAATGCTTCGAAGCTTTCACCTGCACAAAGAAAATTGTTTGAGGAACCTGCTTCGGGCCATGGCTGAGAGTACAGCATCCGGGTGGAGATGCTAATTTGACCCATTTGTGGCTTCAGACCATGACTAGAGATCTACCCGACAGTATACAACGTGGTGAGGAAGAGATATGGTTCATTTTCCACCGGCGTATACTTGTTTTGGGCGGAAGGAGTTCTGCTTAATCACTGGTCTACCGATTCGGACACGATGATATAGGCGGTACACTCGTCATATCACCCGCCCATCATGGTTATCCAGGGTTTTTCTGATGAGTCAATAGAGAAGCCGAACTTACATGTCGACGACATGAAGAAATTGTTTAATAAGAAAGAGGTTTTACTCGGATGAATGACGTCGATGTTGTCCAGTATGCCTTCTACTACTTTTGTATGCCGACTTTTTAGGCAGAGAGGCCAGACAACCTATTCCTCAGGAGCTAATATTATTGGTAGAGGACTAAATGCATGGAATCTGTTTCCGTGGGGTTCGTATATATGGAAAGCTACCTGGACTAAGTTGTCGTCTGCCTTGATGACCGCAAAAGTTTGCGGGCGATGGGTCGAAATACACTTTGTCAGGCTTTGTTTGGGCCTTTAAGGTAAGAATTTCTATATAATGTTTTCAAAATTATAATTAATTATTTAACAATTACTAATGTTGTTATTATATTGTTTGTAAATTTGGATATTCGAGGCCTTTCCCCGCCATGAAGACATATGCAATAAAAACTTCAAATGATATTCCCATGGCTATTTCCTGGAAGAGGAAACGTCTGTTGGATTGGGAAGACTTAATACCATATCGCGACAATAAATAATGTAAGTTAACACAAATACTATCATATATAAACAGTATTAATAGTAGACGTTTAACTTTGTTTGAGTTTTTATATTTTTAGGAGGCCAACATTCCATTAATGAGACTGACACCACACGAAGGCTGAGCTTGCCACTGATTGGTGGCAAGCTAGTCAGCGTTTTCTTGATGGCACGAATGATGAGCAGCCTGACTTCCTCACTCGAGAGCCATCACGCTCACCCAGAGCCATCACCTGATCGACCCGACTATACACCTCTACAACGAGAGCCATCACCTATCCCGTCACATCATCGAGCCTCTTCTCCACCATCACCTCATGATAGGCGACCGGCAAAGATGCCACGACTTCTATCTCCCTGTTCTCCACCTCCACGGGATGAGTCAAGGGAGTTACGTGATGAGTCAATGCTTGCGTGAGGAGATCGTACTCTACGCGATAACGATGGTGCATGGCGTGTGGAGGTCAATGCCTTGCGTGAGGAGATCGGTTCTCTACGCGATAACGATGGTGCATGGCGTGTGGAGGTGTCTACTTTACGTGGTGAGGTTACCGCTCTAAGTGAGATGGTAGTATCGTTGCAGAATGAGGTTCATATTCTACGCAACAAGGTAAGTTTAAGATTTTCCATATTTAACTTGATAATAAATTTACTCGTAATTTCACTTAAATTAACCATTCACTTAGATTGCTTAGTAATTTATTCGGTTGCTGCCAATGCTTAACGTTTATTAACACTGTGAAGTTAGTATTTGTCTTTTTGTTTTGTCTTTTGGTTGAAGTAAATTTATTCGGTTGCTGCCAATTCTGCTAAACTGTGTATTCTTTAACACTGTGAAGTTAGTATTTGTCTTGTTTTTGTCTTTGGTTGAAGTTTTGAAATATATTTGTCTTTGTTTTCACTGTTAAATAATGTCCGTTTTTTACTGATATTTGTATTAAGTATTAGCGACCGATAAGGTGGATGCTTTACGTCGGGTTTTTCTTGGCACGACAGAGTTCCGTATCAGACGGCGTGCATGTGCTATTAAGTCTCCGTATACCCCAATAGTGCGAAGACACGCAAGAAGAAGCCCGACTCGCCTGTCATCCCTCAAGAGTCCACTCCTATCGTTGAAGAGCCCCTATCATTCCTCGAGAGTCCCCTCCCACCGTTCAAGAGGCCACTATCATCCCTCAAGAGTCCACTCCTATCATTGAAGAGGCCCCTATCATTCCTCGAGAGTTCCCTCCCACCGTTCAAGAGGCCACTGTCATCGTTGAAGAGGTCACTCCCACCATTCAAGAGCCCGATTCACATGGCGTCATATGTAGGATTCTTGAGAAACCCTCTGACGTGCCGGACATGATGGATTCAAGTTGGCTCTCGTATGAGTTACCGGCCAGTACCATACCGGTATCTGAAGTGGAGAGGGAACAACTACCGGACACAATTCTGGATAACACCCTTTGGGCTAAGACCGCAGTTGATTTTTATCTATATGAGCGAAGCCAGGGGTGTTTCACTGACATATGCAAGCTCAATGATGATATCTATTTGTTGCTTGATCGGTCTTGGTGGGGCGTATTATTAGGGGTCGAAGACAATGGCTATTTCGATGGAGGGGTAAGTCTTATATTTTTCTTATATTTTAATGTGATTATTTTTTTGTAAATTTATGTAAGTTACTAATATATGTCTTTTTTTGTAAACAACATATCGATGCGTGGGTGTCACGTCTTCTAATAATTAGGAAACTTAAGGAAAATAAAAGAAATACACGATATACAATTATGCCGACGTCTTTTAACGCCGTTCACTTGAAGAATCACGAGATGAATCATTTGCGTTGGGCAATGGACAAGCTAAACTTTATCCTGCATGTGGGAGGTCGATAAGGTTAGTGTTTATTTTAGATTGAGTTTAAAGGTATTCATAAATAAGTGCGCAAATGAATGAATTATTACTTATGATTGCAGGTGTTTATCCCTGTTTTGGAACGTAACCATTGGCTTCTCGTCGAGCTTCAGATCCCATCCCTTAAGGCAATAGTATCTGACAGCATGATAAATTACATATCATTGGCTGATTTAAGAGATATTATTAAGGGATGGAGCTCTTATTTGGCTAAATTCTTGGATGCGATAAATTATTGGACTCGTTCTGGAAACAAGAAGCCAAAGAAGCTCAATATTACAGTTAGCAGAGACGAGACCGCACCACAACAAACGAAAGGACCCAGAGGGATTGTGGTCCTCTCGTATGCTTGGCGTTGGACCGTTTGATCACAGGAAGTATAAAGTATCTACCCTCCCACGATATAGATAGAGTTGCAGTAGGCTTGTGGTTTCGACATTATATGGCTAGATCAATATACGAGACGCTGCCTACTGCATCCGCGTTATAAAAATGTCCATAAACAATTGGTATGTTTATAGGCTTGTGGTTTGAAAATGTTTGGTTAAGTACCTAGAATTCAATAATTGCTGTTTGTAGGTTTTAGATGTGTAGAAAGTGTTGTTTGAGCAAATGTTTGGTTTATGCAGGTTAATCTCAGAAGTGAGCTGCGTGAAAATGATGTATGGCTGCAAAAGTTGATTCAATAGTAGAAGTGTTATTTCTCTAATAATTATTGCTTATTTTTGATTGTTAATTGATTTGTAAAAGGTGATTTGTAAAATTTGATTTGTTAATTGATGTTAACATATTCTTTTGTGCT